TGTGTGTGTGTGTGTGTGTGTGTGTGTGTGTGTGTGTTAACGCCAATCTGTTTCAAAAGAAAGCACGCCAGCCGTGTGAACACATAATCATGTTACGCACACGCACAGATACGCAAGCACACAGCATACCACGCACCTTCTACACTGGCAGCGGGATCAAGTCCGGTCCCACTGTGCTCATGTTGAAAACATATATCTAATACATATTTGTGAATGTACATCTGTTTGTTAGTTTGTTCTCAATGCAAATCAATATGGAATACTCTAAAAATGTTCATGGACGGTCAGTAGGGGTAACTTTTGATGCTGAATGTCATAGGCACATTAGATTATATATACACTTTAACACGTCTTTATAATAACGGTGTTATTATACGTGTTGTAATGTGAGCGTGGGTCGGGTGGGCGTACTGGAACCCGCTGCTAGCGACACACACGCGCGCGTGCACATGCACGCACACGCACATGCACGCACACGCACACACTGGATACATACTCGGCCGGGTCTGCCTAGATCGACTGCATTGTTACATATATATGTAGTCAATACATACGCACACATGCACGCACGCACGCACACACACTCTCTTTCACACAGGCACGCGCACGCACGCACGTACACGCACTCTCTATATAACAATCTCATCTTTTCCCCAAGCAGGCGCGCGCGCAACGCACTAGTACTACGCACAGTCTCCCATATATATTCTTCTCACACATCCACCGCACGCAGGGCGTCGCACCCCGCACGCAGTCACCGCGCGACGCCCACAAGCAACACACAGCACATCGCACCGCACACGCACTACGCAGCACCACACGGCACGAAGCCGGGCGCAGCACATTCGCACACGCACGAGCACCACTACGCGGCGCACGGCACTGCGCGGCACGATTGGTCTGGCACATAGCACACACACTCCACACCACATCACACAATCACACACGACACCACCACACTACACACACCACAACACAGGTCTGCAGTGCATGCCGATATATCTATGCCGCAATGGTCGGCCTCTGTGCACGATGTAATGCAGCCTGTTCCCGACGTCTACGGAGGCATATTTATCCTTTCTAATCCATAATGGCCATAAACCATAAAAAACTATATATTATGATAACTACAAGCTGAACCAGCGCAACTCATATAGTAACTATTTTGAGGTGTAATACCATACCTGAGGTTCAGTTAGATGTAATTGAATATTACGAACGAATATGTGCGTGGTGTGTGTTGTGCGCGCAGTGTGTTTGTGTGTTTGTGTGGGTGTGTGTGTGTGTGTGTGTGTGTGTGTGTGTGTGGTGTGTGTTTGTGTGTGTAACGTGTGCGTGCGTGCGTAGCGCGGGCGCGCCTGCGCATGTTTCTATATGATTGTTTTCGTTGTACGTTTCTCGTTCTACAACTGTTGATGTTCGCGTTCACGTTGGCACGTTCATCGTTGTTCTTTCGCGTTCCTATATTGTTCATTATGTACGTATGTTAAATCCACTTGTTTGTTTCCCGTTCTTAAGCATTGTTCGCATTGTACGTTGCACGTTCTATGTTGTTCGTTGCACCTTGCACGTTCGGCGTTGTTCGTTGTTTCTTTCTCGTTCTATATTGTTCGTTGTACGTTGTACATCCAACATTGTTTGTTTCCCGTTCTATATTGTTCGTTGTAAGTTGCACGTTTGATATTGTTAGTCGTACGTTGCACGTTCTTTATTGTTCGTTGTAAGTTGCACGTTCTTCATTGTTCGTTGTACGTTGCACGTTCTTTATTATTCGTTGTACGTTGCACGTTCTTTATTGTTCGTTGTACGTTGCACGTTCNTTTATTGTTCGTTATACGCCGTACACATGCGTTTGCGTCGTTTCAATAATAAAATTCTTGTAAATGAAGGCGAATTCAATTTGCTGCCAACGTTTTCATGTTTTTGCGTTTATTATCGCTCGATCGATGTTCGTATGCTCATTGACAGCACACAACGCACACCATTGTGTACAGATACACAAGTGATATGAGCGATACAATTCCTAGCTATTGTGTATTTGCGCAAGGCAGCATCATACATGCTAATCACTAACATCATGTGTGTGTGTGTGTGTGTGTGTGTGTGTGTGTGTGTGTGTGTGTGTGTGTGTTGTGTGTGTGTNTTTCAATAAAAAAATGATGGTTAATAAATACAACTTGTCAGTAGCCTACTACTACAGTACCAGCAATAGTCTTAATGTTGGATTTGACCTAATAACTTCACTTCAACACCGTTCAATACACCGCTGCAACACATAGCCCGCACGCCATTGTGCATGCACAAATACACAGTAGATAGGAGTCTTCTATGTCTCCATCCTCCATCCTCCACGCCTCCTATCTACTGTGTATTTGTGCATGCACAATGGCGTGCGGGCTATGTGTTGCAGCGGTGTATTGAACGGTGTTGAAGTGAAGTTATTAGGTCAAATCAAACATTAAGACTATTGCTGGTACTGTAGTAGTAGGCTACTGACAAGTTGTATTTATTAACCATCATTTTATTATTGAAACGGTCCAAGTGCCTGTGCAATAATGTAACCCAAACACAGGATAGGCCTAGGTTGTTATCTGTGTTTGGGTTACATTATTGTATCTAGTGATCGCGCGACTCGCGTACACGCATGATTGCGCAACGGGACCACAGGCACTTGGAATGTCTCAATAAAAAATAAAAAATGTAAACACAAAATGTATTTACTACCAAAGACTAAAGTTGTTTCTCTACTCTATTAACTATTTTGCCTATTATTGCCGATAATTACTGGTAAATGCCAGTCAAATGCTCATCTGCAACACACATTAAGTACACCGCACATTGTGCACAAACGACATGAATAAGAGAGTTATATAATATTATCAAGAGCGTATTAAGAAGGAGAGCGTACAACGGTGAAATGGTGAAACCATGCTGCAGTATTAATCGAATTACTAAATTTTGCCCGTTTTATTTTGACGATTCTTTGTGGTATTATTGATCAGCTGTCCTACCTTGCTAATATAAAACAAACCGCTTGCCCCTACGATGCCTCTACACCGAGATAATGAGCGGTGAAAATCTGGTATTTTTGCTGAAAACCAACTCGAGATATGTAGTGGCTGCGACTGTCTCTCGCTCTGGCGATAGCTTCGGGAAACCTCGCGTGTTTCCGTCATTCATTGACAATGAAATTTATTTTCCTTCTACTATTTTTTCTCGCATTTCCAGTCATTGACGCAGCCATTACTCCACAAAAACGTCTTGTTATTTATCGCCATGGTGATGACCCGCCCCTTACGCTGGATGTAGTAACGCTGTAGTAATAACGTATCGAGTCGGCGCTACACAGCGGCGACCGGAAGCAACATATAGTACACAAAACGAGAGACAGTCGCAGTAAAACTGATCTCGAGTCGTTTTTTTGGCGAAAATACCAGATTTTCACCGCTCATTATCTCAGCGTAGAGGCATCGTAGGGACATGCGGTTTGTTTTATATTAACAAGGTAGGACAGCTGATCAATAATACTGCAAAGAATCGTTAAAATAAAACGGGACAGTTTATTAATTCGACTAATACTGCACCATGGTTTCAGCATTTCACCGTTGTACGCTCTCCTTCTTTATATGCTCTTGATATTATATAACTCTCTTATTCATATTGTTTGTGCACAGGGCAGGCGTGCGGTGTAC